CCTGTCTTCTCTTCTAGGGTTTTGATAGTTTCCTGTCTCACATTCAGGTCCTTTATCCATTTTGAGTTTATTTTTGTGTATGGTGTGAGAAAATGATCTAGTTTCATTCTTCTGCATGTTGCTGTCCAGTTCTCCCAGCACCATAGTTAAAGAGGCTGTCTTTTTTCCATTGGATACTCTTTCCTGCTTTGTCAAAGATTAGTTGGCCATACATCTGTAGGTCCAATTCTGACTTCTCTATTTTGTTCCATTGGTCTTTGTGTCTCTTTTTGTGCCAATACCATACTGTCTTGATGATGACAGCTTTGTAGTAGAGGCTAAAGTCTGGGATGGTGATGTCTCCCGTTTTGATTTTCTTCTTCAGTATTACTTTCTTTATTCAGGGTCTTTTGTGGTTCCATACAAATTTTAGGATAGTTTGTTCTAGTTTTGAGAAGAATGCTGGTGCAATTTTGATTGGGATTATATTGAATGTGTAGATTGCTTTGGGTAGTAATGACATTTTAACTATATTTATTCTTCTAGTCCATGGGCATGGAATATTTTCCCATTTCTTTGTGTCTTCTTCAGTTTCCTTCATAAGCTTTCTGTAGTTTTTATCATATAGATCTCCTATATCTTTGGTTAGGTTTATTCCTATGTATTTTATGTTTTTTTGTGCAATTGTGAATGGGATCAGTTTCTTGATTTTTCTTTCTGTTGCTTCATTATTGGTGCATAAAAACGCAACCAATTTCTGTACATTGATTATCTACCCTGCAACTTTGCTAAATTCATGGATCAGTTCTAGTAGGCTTCTGGTAGAGCCTGTCGGGTTTTCTATGTAGAGTATCATGTCGTCTGCAAAAAGTGAAAGTTTGACTTCATCTTTGCCAATTCTGAGGCCTTTTATTTCCTTTTGTTGTCTGATTGCTGATGCTAGCACTTCCAGCACTGTGTTAAACAACAGTGATGAGAGTGGACATCTCTGTCGTGTTCCTGATCTCATGGGGAAAGCTCTCAATTTTTCCCCCTTGAGGAGGATGTTAGCTGAGGGCTTCTCATAAATGGCTTTTATGATGTTTAAGTAAGTTTCTTCTATCCAGACTTTCTCAAGCGTCTTTATTAAGAAGGGATGCTATATTTTGTCAAATGTTTTTTCTGCATCTATCGACAGGATCATATGGTTTTTATCTTTTCTTTGGTTAATGTGATGTATCACATAGATTTGCGAAAATTGAACCAGCCCTGTAACCCAAGAATGAATCCCACTTGATCATGGTGGATAATTCTTTTTCTGTGCTGTTAAATTAGATTTGCAAGTATCTTGATGAGGATTTTTGCATCCATATTCATCAAGGATATTGACCTGTAGCTCTCTTTTGTAAATTTTTATTTTAATTAAAAAAAATTTTTTATATAGTTCTTCTATTTATTGAGACAGAGAGAGACAGAGCATGAGCGGGGGAGGAGCAGAGAGAGAGGGAGACACAGAATCTGAAACAGGTTCTAGGCTCTGAGCTGCCAGCACAGAACGCGATGCGGGTTCAAACCCACGAACCACAAGATCCTGTCCTGAGCCGAAGTCGGACGCTTAACAGGCTGAGCCACCCAGGTGCCCCATGTAAGTCTCTTTTTTTGCTGGGTCTCTGTCTGGTTTGGGAATCAAAGTGATGCTGGCTTCGTAGATTGAGTCCGGAAGTTTTCCTTCCATTTCTATTTTTTGGAATAGCTTCAGAAGAATGGGTATTAACTCTGATTTAAATGTCTGGTAGATTTTCCCAGGGAAGCCATCTGGCCCAGGGCTCTTATTTGTTGGGAGATTTTTGATAACTGATTCAATTTCTTCACTAGTTATGGGTCTGTTCAGGTTTTCTATCTCTTCCCATGTGAATTTTGGTAGTGTGTGTTTAGGAATTTGTCCATTCCTTCTAGGCTGTCCAGTTTGTAGCATATAATTTTTCATAGTATTCCCTGATAATTGCTTGTATTTCTGAGAGACTGGGTGTAATAAATCCATTTTCATTCATGATTTTGTCTATTTGGGTGCTCTCTCTTTTCTTTTTGAGATGCTTGGCTAGAGGATTGTCAATTTTGTTTATTTTTTTCAAAAAACCAACTCTTGGTTTCATTGATCTGTTCAACTGTTTTTATTTGCTGTTTTGATTTTATATTGT